TCTCAATAGGACCCCTAAAGCTCGATAATAATGCCAAGAGTTAATAAATGGAATGGCATCAAATTAAAAAGCTTCTGCACAGCAAAGGAAACAATTAAGAATGTGAAGAGACAACTTACAGAATGGGAGGAAATATTTGCTCTACTTTTCTGACAGAGGATTAATATCTAGAATATATAAAGGACCCAAAAGACAAATAATCCAATTAATAAATGGGCAAATGGCTTCAACAAACACTTCTCTAAAAAGTACAAATGACCAACAAATATATGAAAAGGTGTTCATCATCATTAGCAATTAGGGAAATGCGAATCAAAACTACATTGAGATTTCATTTCACACCAGTCAGAATGGCAGTTATTAAGAGTACAAATAATAATAAGTGCTGGGGAGGAAATCAGTATAGCGTATGGAAATCAGTATAGCGTTTCCTCAAAAGACTAGGCATGGAACAACCATATGACTCAGCTATACAACTCTTTGGCATTTTTCCTAAAAAATTAAAGTCATCATACTTTAGTGACATATGCATACCAGTGTTTACAAGCAGCACAATTCAAAATAGCCAAACTATGGAAACAGCCTAGGTGTCCATCAGTAGATGAATGGATAAAGAACATGTGGCATATATACACAGTGGAGCCATAAAGAAAAATGAAATAGTATCATTTGGAGGAAAAAGGATGGAACTTGAGAACATTATGTTAAATGAAATAAGCCAAATTCAGAGGTCAAGGGTCATGTGTTTTATATGTGGAAGCTAGGCAAGATAAAGGAAAAGTAAGGTGGGACTGGAGAATCTTAGTGTATTGTGTGCATGTACAAATAGGTAACAACAAATCCCACCATTATGTAAAACTAAAAACCTGTAAACAAAACTAAAATGTAAATGACTAAGATATAAGAAACAAAGTGTGAATTTTTGTTAACAGTTTATTATGACAATATTGAACATAATTTTGCGTGTGTAAACAGTTGTATATCACTAACTCAATTTTTATTAGGAATACTTCACAATATTTGTTTCATCTTTGTTTTATTATATATAGAGAGAGTCAAATCTTTATAATTTATTAATCTATTGACTATTTATTTCCAATTGAAGATATTAATAATTGTATTCACAAATATTTCAGTTTAATATTGCATATAGATTTTTTATTGATGTACATATACACACAATAAAATGAACAAAGAGAAGTATGTCCTCATAAACCTTTCCCTTGGGAAGCCCAGATGCCTCATTCACAGTTACTGGTCTGTGGTCAGGCACTGAATGATTTTTCCTGGTTGTGGGTAGAGTCACTGTAGATGGACCAGCCCCAGGTTCCTATGTCAGTCCTGTAATTACCAATGTCCCACCAAGCTGGTCTCACAGCTTCAGAGACCTGAATATTCTTTGGAGGTATGCCCTGGGCCCACTCCTGGGCTGGAAATGAATCAGACTGAAACTTGAGTCCATTGCACTGGTGCCCACAAGTATTGCCTGATATTGGAACTAGTCAAGAGGCTTTGTCAGTGAGATCTGGGGCCTTAAGTTTCTACCAAGTTCTTAGTCTTACTGTGGGGGACCTGATGCTTCAAGATAAAGCTCTGTACTAGTTTTAATGCTCTTTAATGCCCTGATCCCCAATGGGTAAAGTATTGCTCTCTGCTCTGCATTCTCCAGGTCTGGTTTAATGTAGTTGTTCTGCTGCTCAGACTATGTATAGGTAGAGACCTGGAAGCAGGTCACTAGAGCTTTGTCTGCCACTTGGTTCTACCATGGAAGGCCTGGCAATAGAGTTCAAGTCTAAGGCTTATACTTATTTTTTTCCTTCCCACACACAGGAGGCAGATATTTATTTCTATGATGGGTTGCTTGGAGTTAGGAGAGGGATGATGTACACAACATTTTCCTTCCTGCCTTCTATAATACTTCTTCGTATTTTGTTATATTAATGTAGACATTTTGGTTTGTAACTTGATTTCCTAAGCTTTTGTGAAGGTAGTTTGATAAGTGAACAACTATTCAATTTGATGTGCTAATTTGGTATTACCACTAGAGGAGCTAACTCAGCCACCATCCTTTTCCTAAGGGTATTACTAGCTACTTTGAACCAGATATATTTTTAGAAATGTTTCCATTAAAAGAAATGTTTATTGATGCTATATAAAAAGGCTAATGTGTGGATATTTATCCTATATTCAGCAACATTACTGAACTTTCTTGTAAATTATAAAAGTTTCTTAGTTTTATTTATCATTTTAAATATGTCCATCTTTTATAAATATACCCTTTCTTTTAGCTTGTTATTTCATTGTCTAGATAGTGATTTTGCCTTTCAAAAGACTTTTGGCAACATCTGGAAACATTATTTTGTCACAAGGGGACTGTATCATCATTAGGTAAAGGCTGCTAAACATTTCACACTGCACAGACCACAATGCACAGGACCACCACCACCACCATGACAATAAATCATCTAAGTCAAGATGGCAACAGTGTTTATATTGAAAACCCTGATTCAGAACTTTCAGAAAAATCCTTAGTATTGAGGATAAAGCAATCTTTCCTTACTCCAGAATTTAATGTGAATGTCTATATAGCTGGGAGAGGTGACGCCTGCCTGTAATTGCAGCAACTTGGGAGTCGGAGGCAGGAGGATGGTAAGTCTTATATGTTCCTATTAAATAGTGAGTTTCTCCTGTAGATTGTAAAGTTTCTTAATCATCATGTTTGAATAAATTATTTTTCCCTTTTCCTGTTTGTACCCTCAACATTTTGAAAATGCTTTTCCATGCATACTACAGGGACACAGCCACATCAATATTTATAGCAGCACAATTCACAATAGCTAAACTGTGGAACCAACCTAGATGCCCTTCAATAGATGAATGAATAAAAAAAATGTGGCATATATACACAATGGAATATTACTCAGCAATAAAAGAGAATAAAATCATGGCATTTGCAGGTAAATGGATGGAGTTAGAGAAGATAATGCTAAGTGAAGTTAGCCAATCCCAAAAAACAAATGCCAAATGTTTTCTCTGATATAAGGAGGCTGATTCATAGTGGGGTAGGGAGGGGGAGCATGGGAGGAACAGAGGAACTCTAGATAAGGAAGAGGGGTTGGAGAGGAAGGGAGGGGGCATGGGGTAACTAATAATGGTGGAATGTAATGATCATTACTATCCCAAGTACATGTATGAAGACATGAATTGGTGTGAATATACTATGAATAAAACCAGAGATATGAAAAATTGTGCTTATATATGTAATTAGAAGTGTAATGCATCCTGCTGTCATATATAAATTAAAAAATTTTAAAAAGCATTTAAAAAAGAATGCTTTTCCATTTTTTTCCCATAGGTAGTTTTAATGAGAAAGCTGCTATTTACCTACCAGTTTTTACTCTAAATGATTCCTTTTATGGGGAACTTTTACATTTTCAGTGCTCCAAAGTTTAACCATGGGCCCTCTTTAAAAAAAAAATATTTTAAATACTATTTCTTTATTCCCTTGACTAACAATTTCTGTCACTACTTCAACTGCTCACTTGACTAGCTTTATTTGACTATTCAGCCCATTTGTTAACTTGAATTCCGCCTCTCCCCCCCCATGTCTATCAGAATCCTTATGACAAATTGTTCTCAAAATTCTGTCCATAGGAATTAAATGTTTTATGATTATGTCTCAATTTTAGTGATCTGTTGTAAGGCAGGAAAAAAAAATAGGCTGTTATGATCCCTAGCTGAGGCTTTTGGCAGACTATGTTTCTAGTGTGTAGCCCTGCTGATAAACACTGATTCAGCCTATGCACTCGAGCTCATAAACATTTGCTTTTGTGCGCATGCACCCACTGATAGAACCAGTTGGCAATGTGTCTTCTTTACCTGGCTTGCATATAAAAAGCCCTATGGAAAAGCCTGAGGGGACGGAGTGTGAATAATAGAACTGGCTGGGGTTTGAAATTGGAGTTGGGAGCTGGCTAGGGTCTGTTGCTGCCTCTGAATAAACATGTCTATCTCAACCATGTATTTCATCTTCTTGATGAAATCACTTGATGGATCACAAACCTGTTTAATGGGCCTGAGCCTCTGCCTGACACCTGTTTTCTTACTGGAAGTGTTTATCTTTCAAGTTCAAGAGGCATCACTATTACATAAACTAACACTGTATAATATGGGCAGGGGCTGTTCTAGATATTATCTATTTACTTAATCTTCTTTATGAAGTACCATTAATCTCATTTATGGATTGTTACACTGATGCAATAGAGAGGTAAAAACCTCACTCATGGCCACAAGACCAGTAGGTTTTGGAGGCAGGACACAATGTTCTAGAGCACCCATTCCTTCCCAGGTGGTACTAGTCACATGAAGCCCTGAGAGGTCTGACCCAAGCTTGCCTACTCATCTTTTGCTCCTGAAAATAATTACCCAAGTAGCTCCCGGGTTGGCTCACAGTAGGGGGTGGGAAACATACCCTCAGCTGCAGTGTGTTAATAGCCTGTGTACAATGCTGTTGCCTACCTCTACCTTGGGCTATGAAAATGGAGCTGGGTTGAAGCAGCCCATCCATTGTATCTCCTTTCCAGTGAGGTTCATCCTTTCTATACCAAGAACTCTTGATTTCAAACTTTACCTTGCATTTAATTTGAAGAAACCCGCTACTTTGTGAGCTTAAAATACATTCCAAGGAGGAAGGACATTATTGGGATTTAATGTTTTCTTTTACTTTCATTTGTTTTAATTAGCTATACATGACAGTAGAATGTATTTATGAACTTTGACATGTCATACATAGAAAAATGAGAAATTATATTTCATCTGAGTGTACATGTTGTAGAATCATTGGTCATGTGGTCACATATATACATAAAGTCATGACTGTTTCATTCTGCTATCTTTCCTATCCTCACATCCTCTCCCCTTCCTTCCCTTCCCTCTACCTAATCTAAGGTAATGCTATTCTTCTCTACACCCCCCTCCCCCACGGTGGCCTTATTGTGATTTAGCATCCCCATTTTAGAGAAAACATTCAGCCTTTGGTTTTTCGGGATTGGTAAATTCATCCACTACAAAATAAGTCAAGATCTGGCTTTCATCTGAGCGTTTGGGAGCCATTGAGGAGAATAGGAGGGTTTGTTTTTAAAGTCTAATGTAAACAAATGTCCCTCAAGAAGTTCTCACCAAGACAAATTGGTGGAACTAATTTCCTGTAGTAAACTCTTTTACACCTTATAATGCAAGACAGGTTTATTTTCATATACAGCAATGAGAATTAGAAAATGGAAAGGAACGCCATCTTCAGGCAAGTGGAAGTGATCAAGACTATAAAATAGATGTTTGAGACACTACAATGGGAAGACTGTGCGGTGCTGCTCTCAGAAGTCTCTTCACCTTATGAAGTCATTTCAGACGTTTCCTGCCTCCTCATTTCTTCTGATTGATGCTCATAAGAAATTTGGAGTTCCAGGTAATCTGTATTCCTTTTCTGTTTAATTAGGAAATCCTTCAGGAACTTTAAGAGCTACAGAAATAAAACAGGAAGAGCCCACATTGAGGACTATGTCTGCAAGGAGAACTACCACAAATGGTAGGTCAAAACCCAGCAGTCCAGAAAGCATGTCAGAAATACAAAATCTTATGGTCTACCCCAGACCTCCTAAACCAACATCTTCATTTCAAAAAGAAACTATTTGGTTCATATGCATGTTGAAATTCCCAGAGCAAAGATCAAAGGACCTATTAAAAAACATACAGGTGCATATAAGCATTAGCTTTCAGTGAGGGTTTGGTATACCAAAGTACAGCTTATATGAAGAACAAACTGACTGCAATGGTTTTCAAACCCATTTCTTTGAATCATTTGCAGACTGAGTAGCTGCCCAGAACCCACTTTCAAAGACTTATAAATGGTCTAGCAGAAGGCCCCAGGCATTCAGAGTCCTTCAGAACTCCTTGGGGGAACCCAGTGTCTCACTAGGGCTGGGAATATTTTCATCACTTTGACCTTCTGAGATGGTAGGGAGTTGGTGAAGAGAAGTTGCCATTAAGGTAAAATGTTCACCAATAACCAGAACTTCACAGAGGTCTGTAGCACAACGGACAGCCATTGACATCTGCTGTCACAATCATGAACAATCAGTCTCAACCTGTGGGCCCAGCCAGCAGCATCATTACTAGGAACTTGTTAAAAATGCAAATCATAGACCCATACAAAGGTAAAGTAAATCAAAAGCTCTGAGGGTATACCCAGCACTTAGTTGTAGTAATCTCTCCAAGTGATTCTGGTACTCAATAAGCTTCAGTATTTCTGATCAAGGAGACTTACAACCCAGCAACAGAATCACAATTCTGTTGAATCACCCAGAGGATACATTCCTGCTGAGACTTTCCTCTCCTGTAGAGTTATATTCTTCCTTTCCAGGATCCATAACCCCCCATCCCCAATGCACCCCTCGAAATCATTCCCATACTTTCTTAGAAGCACATTTACACTGTGCGATCCACTGTCCTGGGCCCACTTCCCAGAAGCAAATAAAAATACAAAATGGGTAGAAAGTAAAAGGTGCTTGTTAGTACAGTTAACCACTTACACCAGCGTCATTAGCATTAGTGGCTAAGGTGTTCAGGTCTTCCAAGTTCTTGGTTATTACGTTTTCCATCTGCAGAGCAGATGTTAGGGCTTCTATGGCATTTCCCCAGTTACCAATTTCAGGCCTCTGTTGGAGAAAAACAATGTTATATTCTACTTCCTGCAAAGGTGATGAGGTTTTCACAGTCCAATAATTTCCAAACTTCGTAGCACAAGGGAATCAGCTGAGAATCTTAAATACAGATACGTGGCTCAATTGCTGACACTCAGACTTAACAGATATGGCTTGCAGCACTGGCATCAGTGTTTTCAAAAGATTTCCAGGTGATTCCTTTTCCTTCCTACAAAGCAAGGATACCAAGGGCAAACAGCAGTATGCCATTAATCCATTAACTTTGGAATTCTGTGGTGATTCAATTCTGTTATTAGCAGGCATTTGCTTTTCTTTTAAAAGTGAAGTTTAAAGAAAACAAACCCTTGGATAAGAAAGGAATACCCAATAGAGGATTACTTGGAGTGTCTGCTCCAACAAAACAAAAAAGTCACATCAGAGACAGCCATACCTGACTGACATTACTGACATAATATATTGCTAACATGTTCTAGGAAGAAGTCACAAGACTAGTGTTCCCCCAACTATAGCAAGCATTAGGATCACCTGGAGAGCTGTTAAGATAGCTTCTTGGGACATACCCACAGGGTATCTATTCCTTAGCCCTGAGGTGGAGCTCATGAATTTTCACTTCTAAGAATTTCCAGGTATTACTGGTTCTGCAGACCCAGGGAGCACACTTTGTGTAAATTGAGAAAAGTCAAACAAGCATTTAGTGGTTTAAATTTACCCAAAAAGATGTTGGCACATGCTTGCCCTCAGGTCAGTTGCTAAGGAGCTCATGGAAGAGCATGAGTGATCTAATAAGTAGCAATTAGTTTTTTTCTAGATCTAGCAGAGATCCAATTTAGATTATAGAAAATTATATTCACCTCAATATTTGGAAGGCAGACAGTACCCTGACGTTTTCTTAGATACCTTATGAACCGCTTTGCTTGGAACCTCTTCACCTCAGCCTGGTCCTCAAAGAATATGACAAAACAAGGAATTTCCATCTCTTCTTTGTAACAGGAGGCCTGGGATAGAGGTGACAATGGGCAGAGACTCGGGGTGAGAGAAGCTGATCTTTAAAATAGGAATCACACAAACTCACTTTGTTGTTTCAATAGTTGTCTAGAAAGAGACTTCTGTTAGTCATTCTTGAGAGCTATTTTTGTCCTTTGACTTACAGAAAGCCTAGGTTCAGGGAGACAGCCAGAGCCATCTCAGAGAATCCATGCAGATTCCAATATACTTGTGTCTGGTCTTTGGATGTTATGGCTTTTTTAAGGTCAGGTTATATATGCTAGTATGTTTATCCATTAATTGTGTACACCCATGACAAGAAGTCCTACATAAAGAAAGTGAAATTCTAAAGCCAATCTATTTCGTTACATTTTTGTTAGAGTCTGTAAACAAGTCAAAATAACACCTGGCATTTTGCCAGGGGAATGTTAGCGTTCATAAACAAGTCTGGATGGTGCCTGGCAAAATGCCAGAGGGAGTGGTTTGAGAAGTAACAAAAGCGAGCCATTAAGTGTGGAGATTCCTTATTGGTTGACTGATGTATCTAGTTTATGCTAATTAGATAAGCTGTGTAGAATGTATAAATACTGCTCCTGTCCTGCAATAAACGGCTCCTACTCCTGCTGTATCAATGCACACAAGTTGTCCGTCACCCCCCGGTTATTTTGCTGCAGCCGGACTGCGGCACATTTTTACATTATAAAATTACACATAGGTATAAAGTTGTTCACCTGCTCATAGGATGAGCTATAACTTTCCTAATCATAGTCCATGATTTGCAATCACAATGTCTACATCATTGGTCCCCAGAGCATCAGTATCCTAGCCACTGAGTTGCTGTTTTATCTAGTATAAACTTGGCCATAAGCACTACTAAAGAGATAGCAAATAAAGTATCACCAGATCAGAATTAAAACACTCACAGTTTATCAAGAGCCCATACTAACCATGAATAAATATGCATCACCCATATGGAGCTGGCGAGCTGCTAGTTGGTTGATAGGAGCTATGCATTCTTCAGAGATCGGTCCCTTGTTCTCTTCCTCTTCTTCCTGCTCAGCCATAAATTGCGTTACCAGCTAAGGGAGAGGACTTCTTAAATACTGACAGGGATGTAGCCGTCCCCCTTCTAACAACAAGATGAAATTCCATTCAGCTGAGATTAACAGCTACTAATCTACCCAAATAGGGACATTGTTTTTGAATGAAAGAACCAATCTGACTAGGGAAAAGTTAAAAATACAGTTGATGGGGAGGGGAGTAACTTAAATCTTTGTAACCCAGTCAGTATTCAGAGGTCTTTCTCATCTTCTCCGTAAGACTTGAGAAGCATGCTAAGCTGAGTAGTGAAGTCTTAATAGAATGATTTCAGTAGCTTTAATTTTTTTTTCCTTTCTCAAAAACTATCATGGTATAGCATGGCAAATCCAGTGGTAAAACTAAGAAGACTGGCTTAATTATAGGGGACCACCCTTTTCCTTCATAAGTGCTCTATACACATTGCTCTAAAGATAAGATGCCATTCTGAAGAATCAAAATCATTAACTCAGGGGATGACAGCAAATTTCATCGAGAAACTGGCATTTTAATTTGGCCTTGCAAGGCTGACAAGAATATAGAGAAATGGAAAGGGAAGAAAGGTGTTCCACCTGAAGAACAGGCACAGGCAAGCTATAGAAACAAGATGAGTTAGTGGTTTCTCTAAATTATGGTAAGACTGCCGCACTTGGAACCCTTTGGCTTCTTCCTTTAATTATCTCCCAAATGTGTCCCAAAACATGTCTTCTTCATTTGCTTGCCTTGAGAGCAGGGATTGTTCTACCAACCCCCAACCCTCCACCCCACCACCCTGCGGGGGGGGGGGGCAGGGGCACAGATTCCCATAGCTAGTAATGGGGTGCTTTGTAGGTAAAAAGTGCTGAATCCATGCTGATTAAATAAAAGCATATTTTACATATGAGTAAAGCACAAGATTTCCCCCAAGTCTGGTGGATTTCTAGTATGAACTAAACCATGTCTGCTTGAACTGATAAAGGAATGGCCATCTCCAAAAGTCTCCCCAGCTGAGGTGGTGAGGAGGGTACCTCCTGAGGGAGAGTGCATCCTAAGGGAGGTGCCAAGAATTTCAAGTTTGACTCAGCCACAAAGATGAGGCCATCCTAGGGAAGGGATGATCCAATGATCATAAAAATAGCCTGTGTGTCACTTTTATTTCCTGACCCAAAGCTGCCCTTATGCCCAAGTGTATTTATGTCATAGTCTCAGGAAGAGAGGGGTGCTTCAAGGAAGTTCTTTTGAAACCATAGTTTGCATATAAATCACCTGAGGCTTTTGTTAAACTGCAGAATCTGGTGGGGTCTAGCCTGCTGCCTTTCTAAAATGCTTCCAAATGCTGCCTATTAGTGGACACACCTGGAATAGAAAGGTTTAAGTACATTCCTAAAAAGCGAATTCAGTAAAAATCCTGTAGGACCCAAGTGGCACTGCTGGGGAGCCTTTAGTAAGGGAGGTAACAATGGGCATCTCCTGTCCTTCAGCATCTCCTGCCCTGCCTTGTGCTCCCAAGCTTCAGGACCCCTGGCAACCTCCTGGTGAGGCCAGAGCTGGGGCAGTCTGTAGTGTCTAACTCTGGAGGTTAGAGTAGAGCAGGTGAAGAGGAAAGCAGATGGTAACTGGTCAGATGGCTAACTGGATTTGCTTCTAAAACATTACCCAATATTCCCTTCCTCCAAATTTGGGGTACATTTCAGGAGATTAAACTTCTACACAAGCAATAGGGATAAGTGCCAATAAAATCTGGATAATTAGTTAATATGACCAATCTATAAGATAGTGAGTCTAGAAGATGTAGATTTTACTTACTGGGAGATATTAGGAGAGTTTGATTATTTCTGAATGATCCATAAGATCCATAGGATCCATGGAAATGTAATCACTCCATTATTCTACCATTCCATCTGGACCAAAACGCAGGGCTGAATACATGCAGACAAAATATTTCTGTTCTTGTGATTAGATATTAGGAAAATTTCTCTCTACCTATTTCTCTCTACCTCACCAATATGTAGAAAATGAGTGGAAAGGAACATATCACCATCGACAGAAGTTGTGGTAGGATGGTAGACATACTCGTGGTTTTTCCCTTTTTAAAATTTTCCATATATTTTGAACTTTTTAATAATCATATACATTTTATCACTTTCAAAAAGGAAACTAGCAGGTCCCTATCTAGAAAAGTAGCTCAATGCCAATCCATAATAGAAGCTCTACATACAAATTTGTTTTGTATTACTTTTTGTAATTATAAATGTAAGGCATAAGCATTATAAAACATTATAGTGTTACAGAAATACATAATTAGAAAGTGAAAGCTGATGGCAAACACTTTGGTTCTAATATGTATATATTTAAAAATGTACTAGGATCCAGAATATGATTACATTGTGGAAACCTGATGACTTGGACTTTGAAATATAGAATATGATCAGACTGGATTTTTAAAATTCTTACAATCTCTCCTCTGGAATGTGCTGGAAATACAAACTTTTCAAAAAGTTACGTGACTCCTCATAATTTTTTTGTTTATTTTTCTTAATCCAAACTTTCTGCCTTTACAGTGTTACTTTACCCTCTCACCTCTCTAACGAGGAAGAAACAAATGGCTCTCTTCTGCACCTTATTTTACCTAGAAATTCTTATCTTTCAAAATAAAATCTCCTTAGTACAGCATTACTTTTTTATTATTATTTTCTTTGTGCACACATTTTCCTTACTCCTTTATAATCTTGATGAGGAAAATGGTCAAATCTTAGTTATCTTTGTGTCTCCCAGAGCATTTTACATGCTGTCCTGCTCATAGAAGTCATTCAGTAAGTCATATTGACCTACAAAATTTGAAAGTAAACAGAATCCTAACAGTTCAAAGCTTTTGATCATAGAAGTGGAAGCAATGGGAAGAGCAAGATACCCTGTGATTCTTAGGAAAACAGATTTCAAAAATTCCTGAAAATTATGGGAGAAAGCAGGCATTTTCATGTTAAATGTCTTCCAAATGGGAACCACATTTAACACAGTACTGGGCATTGAGTGAGTCTTTAATAAATGTTCATAAATGAAAGAGTTAATCAATGAAGACATTTATTAAGAGAGTGAATGGAATGGTAAGCCTTAAAAGTAGAAATGTCAGCAGTGATTCTGATGACAGAAACAGTATCTGAAGAAATCCATGTGTTATGACATACTCATCCCTCTACTAGCAGCTACCACTCTCCCCAGACTGACCTCTGCTTCCAGACTAGCAGGGCCCTCACTCCCTCAGAACATATTTTCTGACTTTTATAGTCTTGGTTATAGTAATTCTTTCCACACCCTTTAACTGCCTGCTTTTGCATAGTTCCTCTCTACTAGTTCATTGCCCTTTGAAGATGTTGGTTGCTGTGTCATGACTTAGTATCACCAGTGTGTTGCAGGTGGCAAAGAGCAGGTCAACATAGGTTGGCAATGAATGTACATTCACTATGAGTGAATTAGTAAATGATTGTGCATTTAAAGAACAAACGAGTAAAGTTGATAAATTAATGTGTCCAGGGAGCCACCCCTGAGCTATTTGAGCATCTTCACTGGGCCTTGGAGTCAAGGAGATTTTGATCTGGCATCGCAAGCTGTTTTATGGCTCCTCCCACTTAATGGAATGTGCAATGCATGTGACCTCAGTCTTCCTTTGGGAAAGAAGACTGATCTTTTAGCTCCAGAGTTGGGTGTGATTCACTGGGAACTGGATAGCCCACCTCCTACCTTAATTGGCTAAGAACATTCTGTGAAAGCCTTTAAAGTTTTCCCCCATATTAAACAAACAAACAAACAAACAAACATGGGCTCTTGCTCTCTTTCCAGTGTGGGAACTTGACCCTTAAGGTCAAAGATCCATCCTCTGGCCCCACTCTTTAAAACAATTTTCTGTGTCATGTGATTTTTTTGCCGTATTTCTTAGCCAGCCCACTCCATGAAAGGGAAACCCAAATTTCATAGCCCACACAGGATGTGGCAGATAAGTATAAGAATCCAGAAATGGGGACATGAAAATACAAATGAATATTAGAAAGTAAAGACTTTCATGTGTGTTAGGGCTTAAATATAGACTTTTTTTAGTTATGTTTAAACATTTTTATGAATGGTAAAAAAAGTATTATTTTTAAATTTTGTATTGACACAGAAACTTGTACCTATTTATGGGTTCTGCAGAGGGACTTGCCCTTCGAGCATAGACTGGGGAGCTTGAGGGCATGTGGAAACTGTTCCAGAGACGGTTTCAGAGAACAGTGTCTGCTTTATTGCACAGCAGAAATAGCTTTTATAGTGAGTACGTGCCAATTTACGCATAACAGTCATGATATATGATATAGGCCATACACAACATATCATCTTACAGGAGTCTGGACACCAAGAGTTCAGGAATTGCCATAGCTCGACCTTGCAGGGGATAAGTTCTTGTCAAAAGAGCAAGGAAATTGCGCTTGCCAATGTTCTGACAGCGCTTTGTCCCAAAACATGGCGTTCTATGTTAGGACTTCCCTGCTGCACAATGAGCAAGATAAGCATTCCTCCATGTAGGTCCAGAGTCAGGCCCTGCAACAGGGTTATAGTCCGATAGTACAACATATGTTTATAATGTACAATGATCAAATCATTATAGTCAGCATTTTCATCACCTTAAACATTAATCATTTCTTTACTCTGGGAAGCTTTGAACTCCTATCTTCTAATTCTTTACAAAATATATGATCAATTGTTATAAACTATACTCACTTCTCTATACTGTAGAACACTAGAACTTATCCTTTCTATCTAACTGTATTTTGGTACCAATTATCTGACCTCTTCTATCTCCTTCCTTCCTATACTCCCTGGTCTCTAGTGATTAGTATTCTATACTCCTATGAAATAAACTCTTTTACTTCCACATATGAATTAAAGCATGTGGATTTGTCCTTCTGTACTACCTCATTTATTTAACATAATGTCATCTAGTTATATTATAGCAAATTACAGAATTTTTTATTGGTGATTTATATTTCGTAATGTACCACATTTTCTATATCCATTCATCTATTGATGAATACCT